GGTTGTTAGTAAAGATCTGGCACTTGGCAAAGAGTGAAAGCAAAGAACTCAGAAGGAAATATGAGAATTGTTTGGCATAAGGTTAATAGAGCTGAATATTCCAGTGCCTCGTGGTGTTGTAGTAATTTTAGTGTAGAGGGTGAATTGGGTGACATGGAGGGTGGTTATTGAGGACAGAGAGTGAAGAGTTGATGGGAGGATTTAATGAGCTTGTGTGTGAGTTCGGCCAAGTGAAGAGCAGTTTAGAATGAAGAAGGCTGTGCAATCTTCCTCAAAACAGGAACAGCGTGGAAGAGCTAGGAAGTACTGGCAGTATCAAAATTGTGGTGATGTGTGTGCCCATGTTGTCACTGAATTATTGATAGATAAATTCTTTGGGCTCAGTGTTTCCCATCGTATACCTACAAATGTATGTTTTTTCTACCTTTATTGTACAATTAATGATGAGAGAGCAGTATACAACATGTCAGTGAAGGTACACAGTAAATATCAGCTGTTACTAAAGGATTTGGAAAAGAGAAAACCCTATATTTATTAACCTTACTAACGAGCTGTTTCTTTTGATGTGAAATTACCTTCAATATGTATTGACTAGAAACTACCAGTACTATAATTGACAAATATAATTTTGGTGTTGTTTTCCAGCCATTGAAATTAGTCTGCAACATTGTCTAATGTGCTCTATGAAACATATCACTCATATCACTCAACATATCAAGAAGTAAAGTGCAAACAATACAAATTGATAATCCATTGTAGATTATTAATTACTATGTTGCTTAATATTGAAGGGGAGAGTCAAGATGTTCCTTAACTATTGTAGAGAGCTATTGTGCCACTTCATTGGGATAGATAACTATGTTCCTTAATAGTGTCTGGTAGGGCATAATGCATTCCTTAATGATGGAAGGAATGTGTTACTGTGCAGTTTTACTGAGGAAGGGTTATTGGTATATCCATTTCTAAAAAAAGTTCGGTTGTGTGTTATCTCATTTCCACTGCATAAATGAAGGTTTGGAAACATTTTTTTTTGTCATGCCAGTGCAGCAGATTTGAATTTGACTGGAATAATAACATAGCTCATCTTTGAATGAATCATCTTTGCCCTTATGGTGTCCGTCCTGTGCTCCAAATGCTATCCAGTAAAATTCAAGTCCATGGCTTTTTTAGACTATGTCAGTAAAAATGCTGAAATACATTTAATTGTACCAGAATCTTTAACGGTAACAGATAATTTGAAGAAATTGAAATAATGCAATTTTTAAAAACGTGACCTTTGCACTCAGCTGTCTGAAGTCTTACTGTTTTACCATAAAAAGAACAGAAAGACCAGTAATGAGGTGACACGGATATGTTGCCAGAGATAATGCAGTTTGACAATCTGTCCACTTAAAAATCCAGGAGCATTCATAGCTACTGGAATCTCCCTCAGATGTCATAATTTTTTAACTCTTAGCTCATCATTTTCTGACCCAGGGATGGTTGGTGACAAGAGATAAAGACAGTACAGTCTCAGGGCAGGTTATTTTAGGGTTGGGGTAGTGCACCCAGAGGTCCTAAGAGCATAAGAGAAGGAAAAACTGTATTATTTATGAGTTTCAATGTGTTTTATACAGAATGCAAGAAAATATATTTTTCAAGATGACGGAGATATGTACAAACAGAATGAATATTGTTGATGAAATAATGTTAGTCATTACTGTCCAAATCAAGATTGTTGTTCATCTAATAACAGAATGCAGACCATTCATAAATTGAACATGCTGCGTACACAATTCTGCTCTGAAAAACTCCTTTGAATACGGATGTTTTTTATTACTTCAGGCTATAAAAGCTTTTCAATAAGGTTTTAATATGTGCAAACATCTGTTGCTAGTTTCAAAGGGGAGAACATCCTTTTTGTAGTTTTGAAATGTTGTCCATAATCTATAGGTTTGGACAGGGGTTAATTGTTATCACTAACCTCACACCCTTCAAGCAACCGAATGTTAATTCATGTTATACCTACTGTATGTGGGAGTAAAATGAGTTTTGAAAAATGTATTGGAGATTGTCACATTTGTATAAAACTACAGTATGCGAAAGACGTAGTTAACATGCATTTAACATATCTAATAGTGTAAGCTGTAATGCAAGTACTTTAAAATAAATATTATGCAGCTATGTGTTTTAATGTGATATGAAACATGGAATTCCGAACTATTAACTGTTGTATATAGTGTAGCTAAACTTACACAACAAGTGTCCTGTATTCTGAGTTTGAAGCCACTGTCCTGTAAGTGGCGTCACCATATGAATGGGATGTGAAACTGTGGTTTTGACTGCTTAGTAGTTAAAGAACCTATAATGCTATTCCAAAGAGTAAGGTGATTAATCCATGTGTCCTAATTTAGCATCTAGTATGCTAAATTACCCCTAAAATCAATTTGTGAAGTAATGTGTCACTTCTTAACCCAGTTGTGCTGTGTAGAATGGATGCTGGTGCAATATAGAGGCTGTACACCTCTCAGATGGGTGCTGCACTTTAGTAATAGCTTAAATGGCTTCTATTTTAACTGTGAAGCACTTTGGGATCCTTTGGGGTGAAAAGCACTATACCAATGCAATTTATTAATTGATTAATTAGTCAGCTCAGATTTACAGCTGCCTGCAAAAGAGAGATAAGGACCGCACCTGGTGTCTTGTGTCAGAGAGCCATCTGCTTCCTATTCACATAGCAAGACCATGGTGCCCACAATAGTGTTAGCATCTTTTGGAAGAATGATGCGACAACTCTGCCAGCTCAGCCAGATTTCTGAGATTTTTGTTGTATAACAGGCTGAGGATAGACGGGCAAACTCAAACACACCCAATCATCAGCCAATTGCAACATGCAGCTTGGGGACATCCAGTCATACTAATAATACGCAGTGCACTTTTAACTATGTACTTCAGAAATATCATGTTATGATACTGATATCAAATATCAATATCGGAAATCATTTTACATTTATGGTCAGTGTTAATGCCCATAGTTAAAATGACGAGCATCCTATTAATGATCCGTAAAAGCAGGTTACCTAAATATTATATAACTGTCAGAGTGCTGATAATAAGTGCACATATATTTATCCATCCATCTACTTTCTAAGTGCTTCTTCCAATTCAGGAATTTAGGGTCCCAAGGGAGCAGGAGCATATTCCAACAAGCAAGGGTTAAGAAGGCAGGGAACACTGTGAATGGGATATCAGTCCATCGTTGAGCAGACAAGCATTCACCCCAGGGCTAATTAAGCTGCCAGTATGTCTTTCAACAGTGGGAGGAAACCCTTGCAAACACATGGAAGATCTAGGAACTCCACACAGATAGATGAACTAGGGACTTAGTGGTGCAAGGGAGCAATACTAACCACTGTGCCACCATGCTGCCAACATTGTTTTATGCTTGTCCAAACTGAAAAAAATCAGGCATGACACAACAGGATTCCTTGACATATAAAGAGATTAGCATTTCCCTATATTGACAAATGAACCACATTGAGTGCATTGTATTATCTTTTGAATGGACTTTAAGAATTGTGATGTATATAACATCACATTTGGTAAAGCCCATATACACATATACATTTATAAAAAGGTCATTATATACATTAAATGACATGTTTATAATACTAGAATGTTGGATATTTATCCAGTATTACAAAATTCAACAAACTACAACGATGCATTTTGTCTTCAGTTCCAAAGCTATTTAATAAGGTCTACTATCGTAAGTATTTGCTTTGAAAGAAATAATCAGTATTTTCCTGTGGTTCAACTCTGGTGATGTCTTAATAGATCTGTTGTTTTCATGGCATCTGCAATCCAGGAGTTTTGTAAGCTGAGGCACTGATGTACTGCATTAGAATAGTTTCTAGTGTAATTTACAACATTTAATACAATCCTTTCAGTGATGTTTTGTTGACTTACAGTAGTACAATTAGAAACAATGCAGTAATTGTAGAAACAATACAAGCTGTTAAGCAATTGGATATTATAAAATGACATAACCCTTTCTAAGGAAAGCTAATGTTTAGTAACTGCATGTCTGTCATCACCGTTGTTATGCTTTTATTTAGTCTAATATTATTTGTAATTACACTTAGGTTCGTTAATTGTAAAGGTCAACTGCATATCTCAAACGAAGAATAGGTATGGCAGTACTGACCACCGGTTGATAATAGACTCCTCCACAGTGAAACAGTTTTAGAGTGAAAGCCTCTATATTAAATCCTTTATTTCACAATACCTGATAGTTGACAGAATCTAATTTAACATGATTTCTTTTTCTGTTAGGGGAGATAAAATACTACTCTGGGAAATCAGAGATTATCGGTTCTTATTGTTGAAGGTATACTGAAAGCTCCCGCAAAATGTTTATATTCCACGTGAAAATACTGGACATACAAATAACAAGTTGAAATTGTAGTACACGGTAAACGTATGACAAAAGTGATCTTACTGAAGAATAATTAATAAAATATCGTAATTACCACTACCATATAAAAACACCGGCTTTAATATACAACGAGAAACATCGAATTCAAAGCAAGTTACGTGTCTCTAGGTTAGTGAAGGGGTTTCGTGAACGTAAGGCATTAATGTTAAGATCTGCGAAAGGGCACGCGTAAAGGATTGGTTGTGCGGTTTCGCTTAAGACATAACCCATTTTGTTAATTCCATGTTCATTTCCAATAATGTAAATTAATAACGACCAGCAGATCCAGTAGTAGTATCACTACGTAAATTCACTACACACAGTCTTCAGTCCTAACCTGTTGTAAAACAAAAAGGTAACAATTCTCTGTTATATCGCTATTTAACCGTACTAAGCAGAACAGGTAGTATTGTTACAAAAAAAAGTCCGGTAGAGAGATTTAAATGCAAAATAAATTAGTTTTTGGTAGAAACTTAAAACATCACAACTTGAAAGCGCATGCACGATACACTTCATCGAAACAGTACATTGGACAGCTCCTTACCATCTTCGTTTTCGTCAAACACTGGAGTTTTGTGGGAGTGATTAGCGCCCATATTCCGGAGCTTCTTCCACAACCCCAAGAAAATCTTCTGTTATTTCAGCCACGAGCATCCCACGGGAAATATATATATTTATTCTTTTAAGCAAAAGTTCCACATTCGATTGTTTTTTTTTTTCCTTTCGTTGATTGTTACAAAGAATGACAAAGCCACGCGTTTTCATCCATGGTCTCGAACCACAGTCTGTTATAAGCCTAAACCAGATGCGATTCTAAATCTTCTCCACTAAGCATCTGAAAGGAAAACGAGTGAAAGCAAACCTTAATGTTTGAATTTCTCCTTCGAAACAAAAACAATAAATATACCTTTTAAGTCCATGTAGTCAGCGACTAATTTGATATATTTTTCATGAGAAATTGTCTGCAAGGGAAAGGTAATGTAGATACCCTGCAGGATCTAATTCATTGAAACGACTGAAACACTTCTTTCTCAAACACTGATACGCTGATAAAGGAAATTATGGAAACCCAACTGGCAGGTGGTGTGAAAGCGGCTTCACTGCCGATTAACCCTTAGAGGCAGCGAGAGACCTTCTGGAAAATCAGAGAGGTTTTTACACACTTGAGCGAGAATGACAAAATATACATAATTGATATTCTGCTAGACTGAGCAAGGAAAACACGTGTGGCTACTGGCTGATTACATTAAATAAAGAAACCTTTCTCCCTTATTACTGCTGAGAATCAAAACTAACGCAGTTTGTGCGCTAATGGCGGAATTTGAGAGCACGCACAGACTTGTGTATAGATTTTTATGTACAGTATTTAAAACATGACAAGATCTTTATCTTCAAACTCAAAGAAATACAAATACAACTGAAAACTAAGCAGTCATTCTAAATCCATCAGAACTCAAAGAAGTAAATCACACTGGTCAGCTTTGCTTTTCTCAGTTAACTTCTCTTTTTAAAATATAAATGTCCGAGCTGTTTGATGCCCGTTTTATTGCTGCCTATGTAAAAGAAACTTCATTACTTAACATTACTTAATTTTGAATTAATGTTCTTATTGTTTTGCACTTAATGTGTTTATTTAACAAAAGTAACTGAATGGTAAACACCTTTTTATTTCCTCATTAAAAAATGATTAATGTTCATCCATCCATTTCCTAACTGCTTTATGCAATACAGGGTTGCAGGGGAGCCGGAGCCTGTTCCAGCAAGCAATGGGCGCAAGACACAATACACCCTAGATGGGACACCTGTCCATTGCAGGACACACATTATCCTATATGCTGTATATGTCTTTGGACTTTGGGAGGTATCTGGAGTAACTCCATACAGTTAGCACCCCAAGAATTGAGCCTCCAGCACAGCAAAGCAGCAATGGTAACCAGTGTGCCACTGTGTCCCCATTTGTTACATTCATGTCATTACATTATATTGTATTGTAGCGTCCTCGAGTTCACGTGGGTATGCGCCCTCGCCTCTGCCACCTCAAGTCGGCTCCCTACGGTCGGGGACCCAAACGCAGGTCTCTGGCGTCGCTCAACAGGGACACAGCCCATTGAACGGGAAATCTCCCGTCTGCCCAACGGCTGCGGTCCCTGCTATTCACAGGGAAGGGCAGTGATGTCACCACGCTGGTAAGCCGGCTCGAACAATCTGCAATGGTGGCCGTTTGCGTTACAGAACAATATGTCATTATATGAACAGAAAGTCATATATTAACAGGTTCAGCTTTTACAGGGAAAGTGACACACATTATAGCGTGATAATAATTTTTTTCAGTTTTAAATGTATTTTCACATAGTTCCCATATGTGTTGTGTGGTTTGTGTTTCACTTGAACCGTTGCTTATTCTGATTAAGTCTGCTGGGTTGGCTTTGTCAATGCCTTTGGGGATTTTGAACACTTGTATCATGTCCTCTCAGTCTTCTGTGTTCAAAACTAAAAAGGCTTAGTTACCTCTGTCTGTCAATACCTGACATTCCATTAAGCCCAAGAATATATTTGAATGTTCTTGTACGGACTAATTCCAGATCATCAATATCTTTTCTGTAGAGCAGCGGTCCTAGTACAGATACCTGTGGTACTCCACTAATTACATCATTCCAATTTGAGTATTCATCCCTTATCTACATTCTCTTGCTTCTGTTTATTTCTATTGGTTGAGCACAATATTTGAAACAGAAGTCACATAAAAATCAAAACATTAAACTCAGCCCCCAGAAATGAATTGTGTTGTCCAAATGACACACTGTGAAAAAGACAAAAGTTACTAGAAATGTTAAAATCAAAACAATATAACCCATCATCTGATGAATAGCTCTTTGCACAAGTCACTTAAAAAAGGAACAGTAAACACTATCATCATCAGAACTACATGCAACTAAAGGTACTGTACATGCGATCTTACTGTGACCTGCTCATTGATAATGTAACCATATGAAATGGAAATATTTAGTAACATAAATGGAAACCAATGTATTCAAATACTCATAACTGAGACTTGAGAGGAAGAATTGGAATTGGAAGATATTGATTTTACCAATCAAAAGTGCTTGAACAAAAAAAAATACTGTAAGTCTACATTAACTGTATTTTCCAAATAAAAAAACAAAATAAAATCTATAACAAAGCATATAGCTAGAAAACAAATGATGATACTATAAAAAATAAATAGGAAAAAAGCATACATTTAGTGCATTCTATGATGCACGTCAGGCCACATACAGTACCATATGTTTATCAACACCACACAGCATGGTTTCCCTGGCAATGCAGTGAGGGAAAGACCTCTGGCATGTCTGGACCACCCCTGGCAGTCCCTTACAGAGATCTCCTGAAAAGCTACATTTGTAGCATCTAGTAGTGACATTTGGTCATAGGGATGTTTATTGTAGGCCTTCCATCGCCAGGCAACAAGAACTGCTTGATGGAGTTAAGGACTGGAGAGTATGGAGGGAGGAATTGCATAGACATGTATGGTTGGGCTTCAAACCACTCTCACTTTAGGTGAGTGGTAGGAAGGGAACATTGTTCCATATCACCAAAATTTAGACTATTAAGCCCCAACCTCCTGTCTCTCTTCACGTGCAACCCGTTTTATACTGTATATTGAACATCTAGAAACATGATCAGACATATAGTGCTGTAAGGTACAATTGTAAGGATGTGGGCAAGAACACCATCTCTTTAGATAGCCACACACATTTATATTCACTCTTCTGTGACCAGGCACATTAACTCTTGCCCTGTGACCAATAATGTTCGTCCCACGCTTCCTGACTTTGGTCATATTGAATCCACATATACAGAAACATGTAGCACCACATTGGCTTCTAGATTAATTATCCTCTAAGGGAAGAATAAACAAAACAATTTAAAGTCTCTACAATGAAATACAGTGATATTATGTAAGATAAAACATAACTACTGTATGATTATGCCTTATTCATACATACTCATATCTCAGCTCCTTTAGTCTGTCACTATTTCTAAGGGCACCCTATAGAACTGCATTCCGAGGTGGTGTTGTTTCAACACCCTGTCAATTGCTGCAGTACAGATACTATTAAAAGACAGTATTGTCCTCAACAATAGCTGCCTGGATGTCCTGCAAATGTATGGCATTGCTTGCAAGCAGCAATTCAACATCTGCAGCCTCCTGTTAAGCATTGAAAGTGCCTTGGTGTCTTGGCAGGCAGAACAGGGTTTTTTGGCAGTTCTATTAAGGAAAACAATACATTCTGCTGAAGTGTATAGAATAAGAGAAAATTCCATACATGCATTTCATACAGTAAGGTATTATTGTACTTTGAAGTTATGTAGGATCTCTTACCTATTCTCAAGCCTGAATATTCTAACAAATTATGCCACAGTTGAATGACTCAAATTGGTCGGCACCCTTTGGCCAGCTTCATACAGTAATAGACCATTATTTATCACATGGTCAAGAATAGCTGCCTCTATATTATTTGGCACATCAACTGCCTTTGTCTCTAGACGTCTGGTCCCCCTCTTTATCCTGTTTGATCATCCATCTCCAAACAAAACCACCTCAATAGTGACCTCCTTTCTATGTGATTATGAATTGAGTGATAATTTCACATATAAGGAAGATTAAATGTGTGTAATAGGGTTTGCATGTGGGAGTAATTGTTAATAACTGGGGGCAAATAACAGGGTTTTGTTTGACCTGATATTTCTAAATGATTTTTGTGTCATTTGTAGAGCATTGTCTTTACCGTTTTACACAAGTGGTGCTTGGTATTTGGATTTTGTGTGAAAGCAATAATAAATTGCCTACAATTTTTTGCTGAAAATGTTTCCTATGGGTTTTGATATTGTGAGCCACAGTTGAGAAAAAACTATAATTCACTATCTAAACACATGCATTTCCCTAAAAACCAACTGACTGTTTTTTGAGAATTAATCTTTTATAACAATCACTTATATAGTGCTTTTTTGGATACTCCACTCAAAGTGCTTTACAGGTAATGGGGACTCCCCTCCACCACCACCAATGTGCAGCATCCACCTGTTCCTTTTATGTGGAACTTTTTAAAAAAAACTGTCTGAAAATCTACATACAGTACTTTTGCTGGTTAGGCCAGTCCAAATCTATGTTCATAATTACTTAGTATGTGATTTCACCTCTGAATTTCTCTAAATTTCATTCTAATAACTGTTTTCTTAATTTTAAATATATTAGAAGTCAGAATGATTGGTCTAGAATTACTTGGTTCAATTTTGCTACCCTTTTTCTAGACGTACAATACATTAAGAATTCTCCACTCTTTGGGTACTAGCCTTGTGTCAAGTGACTGTTGGAAGAGTTTCCTGAGAGAAATTGGAAAGATAACATTGGGTATTTGTTAATCATGGGTGCTTCTAGTTTCTAGTACCCCAAGTATCAATGCCTGTTCTATGCGTATATGTAATACAGAAATGTACCCTTCTGTTGCCTGAGGCATGTTTTTGACTTCTTCCTGAATGAACACCTGAGTGAAGTACTCATTTAGCCCATCAGCCATTTCCCTCTCATTGTCTCACAGTTCCCTATTGTTCTGGTTATATTTTATTTCATTCCTAACAATTATTTTGATGCTGTTGTACTGAAAGATCTTATTATTTATTTAGTCTCCATTGCAATATACTGTTGCCTTTAGATCATTTTTATTAATAACTTTCTGTTCCCTTTTTCATATCTATTTTATCCCATTTTACGTCTCTTCAGTTCTGTTTCATTCCTTCACAGTCTGCTTTCTGGAAATTGAACATTTTTGCTTTGGACTGAACCAGTAGCATTTCAAAACCATTTTGAAGCATGCAAAAATAGCATTTTGAAGCATAACCTTTCATGATAGCAGTTCCTTAATGGGTTCCTCACCTATATTTACCACACTGTCCTGATTGTTTGGAAAGGCATGGTCTGCTGTATACAAGCATTTCCTTTGTAAGTACGCTAACAAATCTAGGTAGGAAAACAATCATTAAGCATGCCTATCATTTCTGTTTCTTCTGCTGACATTCCCATAGGTTTTTCCCTATGTGAGAGTGTATATCAGAAGCATGGAAAAGTCTTCCATAAAAACTTTCTTCTTTTACACATAAATTCTTAGTTTATTATACAATGTGGAACAGAACTATAGTCATTTCTGCATGTGGCAGTCCCCAAAACAGTGTGTATACAATAATGTCACATTCATGTCCCTGTTCCTGTGATTCCAATAGCATCCTTATTGTCGATCTCATATAATTTGTTTCTGGGACTCACAGAATTTAGGTATAAATATTTGTTCCGTTTCTTCCTTTCATTTTGCTTTCCATGACACTTCCTCTAGGATTTTCTCTTGTTTTAAACCACCTTCAAATCTAGTTTTTCTTGGATTTGTGTACCAAGATAATACTGGTGCCCTTCTCATTTAGAAGTAATCCTTAACATCTGTACAGATAGCCTTTGGCATGAACAGGTAAACAGAGGTCAAGACAGATGAGACGTTATTCTGTACAACAATTCATTATCCATGTGCTGAGCTGAAGGTTTAACATTTGAAATTTTACATGTTTGCCTTTGCCAGATTTCTGAAAAAACCACTGGTCTTGTCCTTTAGTTGCAAAATGAAAGTAAAATCTTAGACTACATTCCAGAGTCATTCCTTTTTAAATCCAACTGAACTCCTGGTTGCTTAATTAACTATATAGCTTTTAAATGTTCTCCATTCTGAAAAAAATTTGGTTTTCAAGTTATTAATAAGTAGCGGGGGTGGCACGGCGATGGTTAGCATTTGTGGCCTCATTTCAGTGGGGCCCTGTGTTCAGTTCTGGGTTCCTGGCTTCAATTCAAAGACTTGAGGTGCTATCTGCATCTAGTTTATACTGTACATGTATGTCCACCCTGTGTTTGCAAGGGTTTCCACCATGTGCTCTGGCTTCCTCCCACAAACCAAAGACATTCTCGTAGATGAAATGATTTCTGGGAAAACTGGCCCTGGTGGGTGTGTTTGTGACTGTGTGTGTCATGTGATGCACTGGTGTCTCGCCCAGCATGTTTTCTGTCTTGCACCCATTGCTTGCTGAGATAGGCTCCCCTGCATCCTAAAATAGAGAATGCAGCTTGAAAATGGATGGGCTAAACTTAAATAGTATTATTTATGTCTATATAAAATATTTATGTCTATATAAAAACTACCTTACAAACACAACGTTTCAACCATGGAGCCTTCTTCAGATGTCTTCACACCTGAAGAAGGCTCTATGGCTGAAACGTTGTGCTTTCTTTCTTCTCTTTTCAGCATGGAATACACCTATTACTTGTTCCTTTGAAGCCTATGCATGCTGATGCAGCTACCCACCTGAATAAGTTATTAATTATACTTACAGTTAAAAAATTAATATAAATGCATTTAAAACAAAAAACAACATTGGAATCATCAGAACCTGAATTGGGAAACACATTTCTAGTGAGTTATGCAGTCTAAATTACTATCTACCTGTAGTGTTGTTTCAAAACATCAGTCTATTGTTTGCTTCCTCTGAGACAATGGCTGTCATATTTCAATGACACGGTCATTGTTAGATCCACCAGAATAATTGAAACAGTGGTTCATGCCTGTGTACCACTGGGGAGGAGGGAGGGGTAGTGTCTGTAAAGAAAATTATGTTAAGGACTGCTGATGTGTTCATTGATCAAATCAAATTTTGATCACAAAGAAAACTTCAGTATGCTAGTGATGCAAGTGAATCCTTTTCTGCAGTGCTCTCTTAATTTGTTATATAAAACAAAAACTCGCTTAAGGATGTTCATCCCATTACCAGCTCTAAACCTTCTACATTTTCTCTCATCTTGCACTGAGTGCAAAATGGTAATGTGGGTTAATCTTAAATCCATTCCAATCTATTAAATATTTTAATTAAACCTCATGAACATTTGCTCTTAACTGCAGAGCTCTTGAAGTTTATGCAGGTTTGTGTAGACTCTGAAAATATTCTGATATTTCTGTGAATCTTTCCAACAACACAAAAATCCTTCTTGTAGTATGCTTGAACAGTATACATTATTCTCAATACCGATACAATTACAGAATTACTTCCCTTTAATACCTGTAATTCTTATAATATCAAGGTATACAGTCTGTGCTGCACTTTAAGATTTTTTAACTAGTTTACTGTTTGCATGTGCCACACATTTTCTTCTGACCTCGTCAGCAGAGACTTTGGGGGGAAAAAAGGTCATTTTGCCCTAGTTTTTGATATTTCCTGAAAACTTACCTTAATCATAATTCCAAAAAAAACATTGTTAGAGGCTTCTCTAACAATGCAGAAACATCTTATGATACGATGGAGATATACACTGAACAAAAAGCAACTTATCAAGCAGTCTCAATATTATAAAAAGAGATTGTATACAACAGTCCATCAAAGTCGAAGTTATTCAATTTTGCCAACAAAAAACTGTAATATATAACTGAATAACTGAAATTACAGGCATGAGAGAACAGAGTAACAGATATGCAGCCAGCTGCATTGTTTTCAGAGTTCTCCCACTTAAAACAACCTTCTCTTTTTTGTACAAATGAAACTCTGGGTGTGTATTATTAACTTCAGCATCTGAACTCAAAGTTAGTTGTAAGTTTTGTTTTATTTAATATTTTCCCATCGTGCTAATTAAATAGATGGAAAGAAGAAAGTGGATACAGAAATATAAAATGGGAATCCCTAATATCTTATATAATAGCTAAGGATAATGCAGGAAGCCAGGATTCTCCATTCAGTCTGTAGCAATAACTTGAAAGCTTCTCTTCTGTAACTTAAAGTGATGAAAAGATTACAAAACCTATAATTGCTATTTTCTTCTGCAACACACAACTCTAGAGGGACACCTAGTGACATATCTTAAAAACAGCAAGTACCTTATCTTTCACTGTATTTCTTTAAATACTCCTTCCAACAAAACCTTTTTAAATGTTTATTGTATTTTAATTTTATATGCATTATTAATGTTACCTTTGATAAAATTAACTTTCTGCTATATTCTTGAGGGAATACCAGCACTTCTTGTTCAATCTGCAATTACAATCTTAATAACAGCCTAACTAATAATAATAATATTTTATTTATTTTTTTGTTGATTTACCTTATTGATTATGACCGATTACAATTTTAAGTTTGAATTTTTTTAATTGCATTTGTATTTATAACTCTGAGAGAATACCTGTTCACTAAATTAGAGTGTAAAAAAACTATAACTAGTTCCTTCTCCTGCATGTTTTTGTGTGAAAGACTTGATTATAAAAAATAATTAAATTGGACTAAAATATATTTCCATGTTTAATGCATTTTATTTTATCATGCAATTTTAATTTTAGATTTCAATGGAATTTATATTCTGAAGCCATGGTCAGTGTGGAACAGGTTTCATGGTTTGGCTAAACAAAATAAATTAGATCTACTTTTGGGGGACTTTGGAGTAGAATAAGATTTATTTCTTCCCTCTTGTATAAGGGCAGCCACAGCATACAATATGCAATTGATGCAGTTCAACCAGAAAATTCACGCTTGTCATGCAAGTAATCTGAATAGACATTCAGTAAAATAAATGGTGTTTCAAATCACTCAGTGGCAGCTTCACAAATTCTTTGCCCATTTTTATAACATGGAATCATTGTAACCTTGCTTTCTCTGCATGCATAAAGTGAATTTTTTAATCAGCAGTCATATGGTTTTAGACCACAGTCATGCATACAGTATCCAGTTCTTCAGTAAAATTAAAAACTGTATATCATTGCAAAGACATCAGACATAGCATTCTTTTACTTATTTTTTTAAAGAAAAAATATTATTTTGCTGCAGATATTGCTTCTTGGAATGGATTTTTAGGAAACGTGGACCCACAATACGACTCTGCCCTGCATGACTGTGCCGCAGTGCTGTGATGCTAAACTCCAATTGATAAGCTGAACTGTATATAGATGGTAGTGCAGTATTATTCCACCCTCATGCCTCACACCCTTTCCAAATTTTGCAGATAAAAAAGTCAATTTGAATAGAATACAATGCATTTACACAGGTCTTAAAAATATATTTGCCAAATTATCCTAGACGACAAAAACAACACTAATAATAATAATAATAATAATAATAATAATAATAATAATAATATATTAAAATTATTGTTCAGACATTGTTAGGTGTATTTATCCAGTTAAAAACCATAATTCTGAAAAGACCTCTTGTGATAAGGCAGCGCTTTACGTAGCTCTACGGACTGAAGTACTTTAACATTTGCTGCCTTAGCCAGTGTAAATAAACCGGGGCAACACAGGTTTCTCAAATAAAAAGCTACTTTATAATCAGTTACAACAGCGTTCTGTGCAGCTTTTTTGAACGTTTTTGCGCAGAAAAAAAGAATGTCTGTATAATTTTAATTATGAAACATCGGCCTGAACTGTTCGCTCTTTCCAGAATCAATGGACCGTGTTTCTTCATGTTTACATTTCGTGGCTGAACTCTGGTGACGTAATTGTTGTTTGTGTCTCCAGCTGTTGAAAAGGAGCGAAAACTGACAGCCAGGAGTTAGTCAAGAAAGTTTTCCCACCTCGTGTTTTACTACTTATAACGTGCCGTGGGAAAAGAAAAGGCTGTGAAAGCAGCACGATGAAACCCGGAGTAGGTACTTTTATTGTTCTTTGCAGTCTGATTTTCCTGGCAAACTGTGCTCCACCACCGACATGCTATTCCCGAGTATTAAGTTATAGCAAAGAAATCATGAAGTTCATGGAAACGCTTCAAAAATCCTATCGTACGGTAAGACTTACAAATAATAACAATTACAATTATATATATTTACAATTATTTATAATTATTATTAAAATACTTACAAATGGTGATTGAATGGTATTGATATTTTTTTCTTTCCCCCCCAGAAGTCCTGTATGGAAGCATTACCTAAAATGTATCTTGATGTACATGTGAGTTCACCTTTGCTGCATTGAAATGTTGTTCTGAAGTACTTTTTAATGCGTCAGATATCATGTATGGATGTTACTCAAATAACGGAAATGTGATGCATACAATATCTTGTACTCCACACAAAAATGTTCCAAATAGCGAAAACAAACATAATACACGGTGCGGTAATTCCTTTACACTACAGCATACCATGTACTTTATGTGTACATTTAGGAATACAGTGTCCTAAATAATCTGTTTTATTTCGATATAATGAGACAATTAAAAAAGACGTAAAACATCTTTCGATTCAATATGCATCAAAAAACGCATAGTATTTTAAAAAAAAGTGTACTCTAAAGAGATATCAATATAGTTTATGTGCGTCAAAGAAGCGAATTAAAAAAAACGTTTCGTTGTGGAATCTAGACAAAAGTAATTGAGTGTAAGCTGTGTTCTACAGGCTGTATGGTATATTAATGAAAATTTGTTTATCATTTCAAACATCTTTAATTGTGGTCTTCTGAACATGTATACCATTAAACGTATATTATAACCCTGAAAGCATTTTATATTGCTGGAACACTACATACTCTATATACACATGCATGCTTATTTTGTCGTTGTTAGTCTTTCAATAGTATTTTAAAAAGCTTTAATATGAAAAAAAAAGCTTTTTTGTTCTCCACAGCTCAATATGCATTTTACATATATAATTTATTGAGAAAATTGAATGTATGTATAGGTGCACAGTAATGCTCAGCTTCTGCACAGAAATCTTGGTGTATCTGCCAGTGCAAGTGTTTAATTCACTGGATTGTTTCTTTTTCTTCCTAGAACTCTTGTATTATGCCGAAACTTAGAGATTTCTTGTATGTCCTCGAGAATCTTACTAGACCAGAGTGCCGGGAACGTCCAAGAATACTGGGTTTGAAGCGTAAAATCAGAAGTCTTTACATCATTATCAACAAAGTTTGCTATAGGGTAAATTACCTAATTATTTTCATGACTTAGGCCCGACTCTGTCCTTGTTGTTGATTGCAACGATAACTCTTTTTTGTTTTGTGTTTTTTAGGACTTGGTGTTTTATACTGACGATTGTGATGCCTTGGTTACTGGTGAAAGCACACCAAGGCAAGGAGGAGACCAACTTCCACTTTATGAAGAAAGTTGAAAAAGAGAAATCTTAAGCAAAACAAAATGTGCTGTTCACCTGAGGTGTAGCCCACTGAATAATTGACAAAGTGCATTTCACGTAGTTGAGGAGGTGTCTCTGCAAAAACGTACCACAGGATACAAAACTTTCCACAGGAAATGAACTGAATGCCTACCATTCCTCAGAAACCTTCAAAGAAGAAAATGCATCTCTTAAATGAATTATATTTACCACACAGTAATAGTCAAAGAAAGTTCAGACTAAAAGTGAAATAGCTGAAGAGTATTTCCTTGTATAAACAAAAAAATATACAGACTAGACTAAAACATGAACTCAAAATTGAGTCCATTCTACTTATTATGCCTAATTTCAGAATGTTAACTTTTATTTCACATTTTATTAAACTGCTACCATATACTGTATGTGTGTACCATGAATAATACATTATTATTATTATTATTATTTTATTAAAGTTGGGAGGATTGTATGCATTTGGAGGAAAAACTGATCTGCATTTGTCTAAGCTTCTTTTGTAGATTGTGTCTGCAAATAAGCATTTGTGTATTGTTATTATTTCTTTTCTGACTGGTAATTCTACTTTTTACAATAAAACTGATATTTTTGATTTTGTTATCAAATTAAGTCTTCAGGAATTCAGTAATATTGATATTCTCTTTTTTCAATAAAAAAACAGAGACGTGTGAACGCTAAACAGTTTGGGATAAGCACAAAATGTAGCATTTCAAAATGTGAAAAAGGAATAAGTCATGCTAGTTTTTCAGGTGGATAGACAGAACTATTTTATGCAAGTTTAATTATTTACATTAGAATATTTGTAATCTTGCTCTTTAAGCAAAATAACTGTGGCAACAGGCAGTCTTTACTACAGCAATTTGCTTCTGCAGTACTTAATATACTCTTAGCAACAGCACATCATATAAAGTACGAATACTATCTTAATGTTGTATTTCTGTACTCAGCTAATTCATTAAATGGCACGCTATTGCAGTGTTGTTAAAACTAGTGTGTACACGATTTCTACAATATTCATAAAAGACTGTACTAAACAACAGAAGAGACTTTAAATTAAATGATTTTCAGGATCATGAGAAATCCACACAAAGGCATTTCTGATTGTGTCATGTACTGTAAGAATCATAGCATTCTTAGGGGAGAATTTGTACCCAAAAGTAAGCTCAGAAAAGTTTTGATTTTTGTTGATGTTCATTTGGAAATTCAACATACATTGTCATTATCAGAAAACATATTGTGGATGGATGAAACACAAACTGCAAACTCGCCAGTGCAATGTTTGCCACAGAAAAGTAAAGCTCTCTGATACATAAAGACTAATCTGTTTTGACTGGGGGTTTTGTTACATTACCTGGACCTGATTACTTGTTAAAACAGTGAGACAAATGGATTTCAAAGTCTGTAAGACATTTTAGCCAAACATAATACTTTCAGAAAAGCAGCTCAAGCATGATTGCAGATGAGTTTGTTTTCTAGATAGACAGCCATTCAAAACCTACAACCAAAGGGTCAAGGGCCTTTGAGCTCAATGTTCTTGAAGAGCTCTTACATTCTCCAGACCTCAAGCTAGTAGAATAGGGTATTGCGAGAACAGATCACATGACATGAAGCAGCAGAACCTGAACTAGCTGGAGAAATCCTGCATGGATGAGACATGTTCCCAGGAACCTACTTTTCTGACAGGCTAATAGACCTGAATCTTTTTAGTTCTTAACAGAGAAACTTAGAGATGACCTTATTCAAGTACTCAATACTCAAAGTCACTGACAAAGTCAACCCAAAGATTTTTTCAGATCCATCCGTTAAAGACAAACCTGAGGAAGTAAATGAAAACTATGAGAAAGAACACCTAAAACACAGGACCAAAGGCAATTTTTTAATACAAAGGACTGGACATGTGAAACAAACTACACAGTCATGTTGTCAAAGCTGATACCTTGGCTGGGAATGGCTGGATAAAACCATTGGATCAATTAACTGATACCAATAAAATGGGCTATATGACTCGAACTTGCATATTAGGAAATACACATCTGCTTTATCCTATTTTATCTATAGAGGGTCACAAAAAGCTGAATTGTAATTTAGCAGAATGAGAGTACATGGTGGAACTACACCCAGGACAAGATGCCAGCCCGTTGTAGGGCACCACAACACTGTAGAATCCATGGAAATTATTTCATTTCATACAGTATCTAACACTTTATGTATCCCTGTAAAACGGGGCTAAATGAAAATATTGAATAAAATGAAAGAAGCACACATTGGCTACTACTCAAATAATGTGTGACCTATTGTGACATATTTAGATGACCATGCGATTACGTCACACTAAAAATCATTAATACGGAAAAGGGTTACTGTTACTATGACAACGAGAAAGATAAAAATTGTGCATAAATAAACTTTTGCATTATTTAAACATCTTCACGGTATGTAGACATCAAGTTGGAAGAGCCAAAATACAACTCATAAACTATTAAATGATTGTACGGAGTTTCTTAGAATAAAGTGAATATGGATTTCGAAATTCATTTGAGAAAATGTCTAGATTATGGAAACATTATCTCTCGAACGGAAGTGGCAGGAGAACAAGTAGGTCGGCTGAGCAAAGAAATACAATTTCAAAGAGATTATGAGGAGAAAATACTGGATCTCAGCAAGAGAAGTCTGATGAAATTGAATTACAAAAATATCTCAAGAAACATAGAGGTAGGGGTCCCTACTCAGATAGATAAACAACAGCTGTTCATTTGCTTTTCAAATAAATACACCAGTGTGTTTTATTAAATACAATATCAAGTAACGGTATTCGTACAAATCAGTGTTCATTCATGTTCAGTTATGTTTATTCAAAGAATTCAAAAAAGCTTTGTTTTAAAAAGAAACACTCGTCTGTTTATTTCGCATACTTCGTTTTCCACATTTTATTCAGCTCTAGTTACTGTAAGTACTTCTTTATCTAAAATCATGAAGCCTGTTCAGGACTCATCTGTTCAGACAGACATCGCTTATGATTTCTCCGCTCTCAATGACATTTTTTTCACGATGCCCCTTATTCCTAAGTGGCGATGTGATTTGCGTATTGATTCTACTCACAAAAGACATGAAATAGGTCTACATCCCACAACCGACTGCTTGAAAAACCTGCTACTACAAGGTCTGTTATGTTATTTTGCCTAGCGTATCTTGAAATAACCTTATTTTTTATTTTATTAATTGTATTACACTTCGTCCAGATTACGGCGTCTCCTAAAATACAGTATTATTAGATGTAGAAAAGTAAGTAAGACTCTGGAGTTGTCACTGGAAAGTTGTGTATTATTAAGATCATGGGTAGAGCGCTACTATGAAACCTGTGCTATTGTGAAAGTATTTCTGTTACATTGCTCCTTTTAAAAAAATACATTGCGATTAAAATCGATACTCCACTTAAAATTGCTATAAATTTGTACAAATATATCTTTATATTTTAAGTTGTGTGTGTGTAGCCATTCACCAGTCAACTAATACAAGTAGTGTTGACATCATGCTAATCGTCCAAGAGTTTTGAGTTTTTTTCCTGAAAAAATGTTTATTTATAACTTGTGAAGGGTTTATTAGGATAAAAAAGCAACATTAATTTGTTATTTTACAATACTAACAAAAACATCTATTTATCCATTTTCTACCTGCTTCATCCAATTTCATCGGGTTTTCTACCCGCTTTATGAAATTAGGTCATGGGGGTGCAAGGCAGGGTACCCCCGGGATGGGACGCCAGTCCATCACGTGGCGGAAAGACAAATACACAGACGTGTAGACACACACACCAGGGCCAGTTTTCCCAGAAGCCAATGAACCTACCGGTATATTTTTGGACTGCAGGAGAAAACCAGAGCACCCACAGGAAACCCATGCAAACATGGGAAGAGCATATAAACTCCATACAGGTAGCACCCCAGGTCCAGAATTGAATCTTGGACCCCAAAGAGACAGCAGTACTAACCACTGTGCCAACATGCCGCCCTCCTAAACAAGAAGATTTGTGAAGAAATCAACAAAAGCCACAGCTGGAAACTAACTTTTAACCATAAAAGAGATTTCTACTGTGCATGTCTTTGCAGCAGCTTTATTTGCAAGGGAATATTCTAGAGGAACTACCGACACGTTTCTTCGAGTGGCTGCCAAGATTATTCTGGCTGGATGTTAGAAACAACCAACTGGAGAGGCTGCCTGGTGAAGTTGGCCAACACAGGTTGGAAAGTATTTAAATATTAAGAAAGTTGTATACAGTAATTGCAAGAATTCGTTAAGTTGTCAGAAACAAGACTGAGTATGTTAGGGAGTGAAGAAGCTATTACTATTATTAAGGAGTAATAGAAATCATATTCTTGTGCTTTCATTTTTTTTTCATGTGCTTTTAAGATAATTCTTTTTTTTCTCATCTTAAAAACTGGATATGCACCAATAAATTATGTATGTCTCATATAACCAAAAATCTTGGTATCTGTTGAGCTCTTTGGTTATAGCTGAGAGTTTTACAAAGGAAGAAAATGGAAAATGTGCTGTTCATTTCCAGACTTGTACAGTTAGGATAAACAATGCATTGTTTTTTGGACAATAATTTCCTGTTTTTATTGTTTTACTGTTGTAGACATCCTATGATGTACTAATGTATATACCTAAACAACACGATATGTATTGGTGAAGTCCAAGTGTTATTACATTTATTAAATCCTAAAAATAAAACTTCTGAATACATAGAAACATAGACACATAGTACAATAGCTAAAAGGTCATATTTCTAAAAGTAATTTCACATTGCTTGCGAGGTAGTGAGAGGTGGATTTGTGAGAAAGTTGCCTGTTGATTGGAAAAACCTGCAGAATGAGGCACAGGTAGTCCGAATGAGTAATTAGCACTCAGAGGGAGTGAAAGTTCGTGTGAGAGAAAGAAACTGTTGGAATAGGCTTTGCATGGAATTGGCCATTCCCTTGAGCTAATTAAGAGGCTTGTAAGAACAGACAGGAGGAAAATGGTTTCACCAGCCTAAGAAGGAGGGAAAGTGGGAGCTCCAGAGGTGGTGAAGCTCTCATTAGTAATGGTGGGGCTGGATTACAGGGCTGTGGGACTGGGAGTGCTTGAACTGGGAGTGCTTGAGAAAATACAGCTTAGAATGTATTGAGCAGTGTTGTAGGCAGGCTGCATGGTAGTAAGTTTGGCAGGCTCAATGACAATGAAGTGTTCTTATAAGGAACAGCATTGGAAAGCTGAAACGGGGTTTACTGGAGGGATTGGCACATGGAAGAGTGGGTCATAGAGAGTGTCGAGATGGCACAGGCTAAGTCCCACTTACTTCCTTGTGCTTTACCGTCACCAGACAGACACCAACAGGCAGAGTGTGAGAAGTAACAGAGGAAAAAAAAACAGTTACTGCTATCTCAGAGATGTCAATGTTGGTTACAGAAAGGTGTCCCTGACTAAATGGGATCAGCCATGAAAGATGCCGAAGAAAATTCAATGGTGAAAAATTGAATTGAAGGCTTGTGTTTGGGTTTCCTGGCCAAACAAGATCAGTCAGAAAAAGTTAGTGGTTGTTTGTGAAGAGCTGAGGTAAACATTGGTGTTAAAATGTCAATTGTTGTATTTGTGTTCCTGGAAACTTTGTGTAAAAGGGAGCAATATAACCATAACTAGGAATGGGGAGGAACCAGGCTTTTTAAATGACATGTACTGGACCCTCAGTTATCTTTGGGAACTCAGTTATACTGAGGTAGGCTGTATAAGAAATGTTTTTCATTTTCCCTATTTGTTTCACCAGACATATGCACACTCTACTGCTGGAGAACAATCCACTGAGGGAGTTGCCAGTTGAATTAGGTAATGCTAAATTATAGCTGGCAGACACGACTGTGCCTGACCATTAAATATAATGGAAATTATCTTTCACATGATTTAAATTATTTTGGGCTACTTTATGATTAGTTCTGTCGAGTCTCTTGTGGCAAGCATTTGATCATTAGATTTGTATTTTGTTTTGAGTACCAGTGTGAGACAATGATTCAGATCTCTTACTTTTTCAAGGGAATGTGAGAACCCTGAAAGCCCTGGGACTGAGGGATTGTCCATTGCACTTTCCCCCTGTTGCTGTTCTGTCCCTGGGAACAGAAAGCATTCTGTCTTTTCTCCGGAGAGCTGCTGTCAATGCTTCTACTGGACTGGAGCCTAAAACACGTAAGCCCAAAAAACATTCTTTTTGTTACTTATTCATTGGACTAACATTTTTGTCCAGTGTGAAATAAAAAAAGGTTTAGTTATCAATGCCTTACATATTGTGTATATAGTACTGTGTCATATTAGATACATGTCTGTTTCACTGGTTACAGCTAGCTATTGTATGCCTTGACTTAAAATACTTTAACTGTAAAGATGCATAAAGCAAATTATTAGTTTTTTTTATGGTTTGACCTTCAAGCTTTTTAGAACTATGAGAGCTAATTCATATTCATTCTGTTAATGAAAATATTCAATTCATATGAAGCAATGAGAAGAAGTCTACTTGGATATATTGTAAGTACAAAGGTTTAGACAAATATAATAAATTGGAAAAGGCAAGGTGGAGGCCACTTACACAGTCTTATAATAGTGTAATAAAAGTGCTGTACATCTTAGAAAAGTACCTAAAGCACCTTGCAAATGCATTCAGACCCTTACCCAGTTTTTACATAGTGTTGCTTTAAAGTTTACAGCCATAGTAATATGAATTAGCAATTAATTTGCTATATACAAAGCTATTCCACATATTCAGAGCAAAGAAGAGAAGTAAAATGAAACAAATAAAGAATGGAAATTTCATTATTGCTTAAGCATTTGAACTTTTTGTAGCAAATGTAAATTAATTTAGGTGCACAAAATTAGATTAAAGAGCCACACAATTATTTTTGTTTATGAAATCAACCTGTTTTTTTCTCTTTAGTTTTTTCTGACATTCATGCAACTTATCTTACTCTCAGAAGTCTTCGATTTGACCCTTCAAGCGGTGAATAAAGTAGAAAATTTAAAAACGCGTTTGCTTATGCAACATTTTCTAATTTTACAAAAGGATACCATCGGAAATTTCCGATATCAATAAATATATACACATCTGTCCGGTACAAATCATTATGTAATACAGCAGCTGGCAAAAATTTCACATTAATAATAATAATAATTGCTTACACTTATATAGCACTTTCCTGGACACTCCACTCAAAGCGCTTTACAGGTAATGGGGACTCCCCTCCACCACCACCACCAATGTGTAGCATCCACCTGGATGATGAGATGGCTGCCATAGTGCGCCAGAGCGCCAGAACGCTCACCACACATCACACATCACACATCAGTGGGGAGGAGAGCAGAGTAATGAACCCAATTCATAGATGGGGATTATTAGGAGGCCATGATTGGTAAGGGCCAATGTTGAAATTTGGCCAGGATGCCAGGGTTACACTCCTACGCTTTTTGAGAAACACCCTGGGATTTTTAATGAGAGTCAGGACCTTGGTTTTACATCTCATCTGAAGGACAGCACCTGTTTACAGTATAATGTCCCTGTCACTATACTGGGGCATTAGGACCCACATGGACCGCAGGGTGAGTGCCCCCTGCTGGCCCCACTAACATCTCTACCAGCAGCAACCTTCGTTTTTCCCTGGAGGTCTCCCATCCAGGTACTAACCAGGCTCACACCTGCTTAGCTTCAATAGATTGCCAGTTCTGAGTTGCAGAGTTATATAGCTGGCCACATTAAATTAGAAAAGATGAGACACTGTGATAAAGGCCCCATGCAACTGTATCCATTTAAAAACTGACCAAAACATTCCATTGAAATTCTACTTCAAGGAAAAATAAATGAAATAATTGTCTTGGTATTTTTTTAATAATTCATTAGCGAATATAATGAAATATCAGTTTGAATCATGTATGTTTTATTTTTGATGTAACATGTTTGTCAACAGGGCACAGTAATATCACATATATTGAAAAGGAGATGAGATTGGGGTGTCAACCCAGTGAATGGTTTGTAGACCAAAGGAACCTTGAAACAATCAAACCAGGAGGCACTGTGCCATTTCTGGATTTCACTGCAGCAGCGTCACTGAAAAAGCCTTTGCGCTTCAGTCAATACAGAGCACTCAGAAAGCAGAAACAGAGGAAGTGTGAAACTCTACAAAGGTAAGCTAAAATGTGTTGCACCTCATTAGAAAAAGATGCTCATTTTTTAATCCTAGGGAAATTTATTTTTGAAGTTACATGTCAATTATATTAGAAAATTAAACTGAATACATCTTTTAGAGAGGGAGGAAGATGTGACCCCAAAATGCTCACATGCAATTTCACTTTACTGGTAAACTTTCGTATGCTGCTGAAACATGTGTCAAGACAAATTTAGCTGAATAAACCAAAACACCCTTTCTTTTGAATTCAGAGCAAACAGAAGCAAATTGAGGTTGCAGTATAGTTTTAAAAAATTTAATCTATGAGAGGAGTCTTTCATTGCAGGCATATTTCTGTTTTTAAGAGGTACAGTCCATGTTTATGTTCTTTTTAATCATTATTTTCAAAGGTAGAGTTACAGTAATAAGGCTGTGAAAGAACATTGTGACAGCTGTGCATAATAAAAACACAAATAGATATTTTGATGCAATAGTATACAGATTTAAAATATATTTCCTTGCAACAGTTTTCACCACCTTCCTATGATGTCCCATTTTCTTTATTCACAAGAAAATGTTTAATTTTAATGCAGAAGCTCAAGTAGGTGGCTGCATCAGTTTGCATAGGCTGCAAAGGAACAAGTAAAGGTTTATTCCATGCTGAAAAGATAAGAAAAGAAATGCAATGTTTTGGCTGTGGAGCCTTCTTCAGGTGGCCTCATCAGGAGCCTTCTTCACACATGAAGCAGGCTCCACAGCTGAAATGTTGCGTTTCTTTTCTTATCTTTTCAGCATGGAATAAACCTTTACTTGCTCTTTAATTTTAATACATACATATAAATATATTAAATGTAAACTCATTTAATTCATATTTTTTTTTAAAAAATAATGCTTATTAAATTAAACTTTTATAAGTATAAAGGAGTTCATTCTCAGCAAATCCTGCAAAAATAAAAGTATTCACCCTGTGAGACAGCATCTGGTGTAAGCACGTTTGGAGCACTTACAGTTAGCAGCAGTTATGGCTTTTTGAGGCGTTTTGAGTAAGTCCCTACCGTTGAACAATAGGTTGGTGCAATTTTCCATTGCACATTGAAAACGTGCTCAAACTCTATCACAATGGCTGGGGTTTTCTGATGGATAAATGATAAGATGTGCATATTGTAATGCCATGGGGGTGGTGGCCAGCACCTTGAGCACGAGCAGGCGTCTCCAAGGTCTGCCTCCACCCATTGACGTCCTTGCGACGCCACCAGGCTGGGAGTCACACACTGACAGAATCTCCAGCTCCTCCTTTTCACTCTGAGATCTCTCATCCTAACCACACCAGAGTCTCTCTTCTCACTGTCTTGCCCTAATCTGTGTCCTTGAAGTTTTATCCCACATACAGCTGTTGATGCACCTCAGCCCCATGCCCAGCCACCACTGTGTTTCTCACTATTAGCTCCCAGTGTGCAGATCTCTTACACACAATGCTATGAATGCACATTAACTCTCATCCAGAGGACCCTCTAGACAGCTCTGTTCTTCCACACTATAACAGGCTGCCATCTCTTTACATTTCAGGATCCTCTACTGCTCCTCTCTGAAGGCTCCCATAGTCATACAGTTCTCTCTGGGATTGTCACTCTTCTTGGTCCCTTCTGGGAAGTTTCCACATCTACACCCAGCTCCCTCCAGAACTGTCTTTCTCAATTCACCAAGTTCTTTCGCTGTTCTATTCACAGTTTCCTTCGAGGCTGTCACTGTCATGTCTCTTCCCCTTATCCCCTTAGTTTGCCTACCCTCTCTCTTACAGCAGATGCCCTCACCAGCAGTGCCTCACACCCGCTGCTGTTTTGTGTCAGCCCGGCTCTCTCACTGCGCCACCACCTACTTGAGTCCTGTTCTCGTGTCTGCTCTTGCCTGCAGTTAGCTCAGAACTGAGGTCTCAGCTTGGTCTGTACTTGGGGAGGTATTCGGTTTGCTTTTAAAGGGTTCCCACAGCTGAAGCTCATTAGCACTCATACTCCACTCTGTTACTGAGGCAACCGGTCTCTGTCTGTTGAGAGCTCTGCTTTCCTGCCGAACACACCTGTATAACACCACAGTGTTAATTTATTAATTTTAGATATCATATTTTAATACTATTTTTTATTAATCAAAAAGGAAATACAGCTATAATTAACATTAGAAGAAGTTTCTGTGGCACACAAATCTGTATAAACAAGTGCATAAACTAACTCTTGGATGCCCCTTCTAAAAGGTTGCTGACCCCTGGCCTACTACTGTAGGTGTTATTGTCCTGCTTTATCCCAGTTTTAGGCCTTTGGTCCACTATAATCGGCTTTCCTCAGAACTTTGCACCTTGCTCCATCCATATCCTCTTCAGTTTTGGAAAATGTCTCAGTCACTGCTGATGAGGAGCAGTCCCATAATACAATGGTGCCCTCACTATGTTGACAGCACGGTGATGCAGTGTGTTTGTTTTGCTCCACACCTAACTCTTTGCATATACACCACAAAGTTTTAATTTTGTCTCATCTGACCACAAAATCTTTTGCCACATTTTTGTGGAGTGACTGGGATATGTTTTACTCAAGGACAGTTTCTCCCATGATTAGAATTAGAATCAATAAGAATCATGGCCTTTGTAAGAAAAAAGTGAATTATAGAGTATCCCTCAGTACAACATGTTTGTACAGGTTTGTTCAAATGTTTGCATATTTGTCTTAAAAATGATACTTTATATTGTTAAAAAACAATTGTGGTACAAGCAAGCCTATGGGGGTAATTTGTTTAGAACTATGAGAAGTCTTGTTATCTTGTATTTTAAAACACCCTTGTTTGTATAAAAACTCTGTTGCAGTGCTTCAAAACATCATCCTCACATCTCTGACAATGACAAACTACCACTATATATAAAACTATATACTTGGTATATACTCTAGAATTTTCCTCTTAAGCACAAATACATCACAATTCTTTCAATAACCTTTCTGGGAAGCATGGGATGCAGTGCGACATATACCCTGGCCAGGACGCCAGTCCATTTCAGGGCACATAATACACTTACATTCACACACTCACACCAGGGCCAGTTTTACAAAAGCCAATTAACCTACAAGTACTGTATGTCTTTGGACTGTGGGCAGAAACAGTTTTTGTTGTTTGTTTGTTTTTTTGCATATGCGGTTAGTGGTGTCTTTCAAAACAGACGTTCGGAAGGAGATCAGATTCTTAATCTCACCACTTCCAGTCTTCTATGCATTAAGATCTTGCCTGTGGGACTCCCCATTTATTCTCCTTTCTCTCAACCACCCTCCACCCCAACTTCACCTTTGTAGCAGCTCCCAGGCTCATTCCTCCTGGCAAGAGGGGGGATCTTGTCAACCTTGTCCTCAAGGGTGGGCTGCTGTTCCTCCAGCCAGGCAAGTTATGCCAAATAAATGCTTACTATATTACTATATCAATATGTGTCACCTCTCTGTAGCAGTAATTAAGATTTGGCTGAACTTTGGCTTTATAGTCAAACGAATTTAAAAGTGTGTCTAACCTTATTATTTCATGAAAATGTGAAGCATATAAAACATTCTTAAGGAAATTAAATAAAGCCCTGAGTGAAAGACTTCACAACCACACTCCAATCTAAATAAAGAACGTTACCAGATGACTGGCATGGTTTGGACTGTTTTCATTTATGTGTATCTTGAGGTTTCAACATTTAAAACATAGTGTAAACATATATTCCAACACTCTCAATAGCCTTTTTCTTCTATGTTGTAACAGTGCAGCAGAGCCTGAGACAAAGGAGAGATACAGCAAGCCTGATGAGAAAAAAACTGAAGAAAAATTCTCAGCTGTGTTCAAAGAACTCACAGAAAAACAACTCCAGATGGAAAAACGAAAGATGTATGTTTTCTTAAATTCCCTGTTAGTTATTGTAAGCGGCCTGACTTGCTAAAATTAAGTTTATATGTTGTGTTTAGTCAGCTACTATTACTATTATAGATTAATTGCATAGCTGAGTCAAATCTGTATGTACAGTACTGTATAATACTTAAACATACTTGGATGAAGTGAACAATCCACGCATATGAAAACAGAGAAACATCTCCAGTTACTGTAATGCCAATACTGGTTCCAGAACATTAAGACTGTTGAATTACGCATCAGAAAATCACATCCAGTTTCTGTTTTTAAAATCATTTCAGTCACATACATCTATCTGAAAGTACTATTCCCTGATCCAAAATTTCATAGTTGAAAATGACTATGTTGATCAGCCAAGATGCAAGAACACCTAAAAAATATAGCATTCCAGGGGTCTGCACTCATTCCAGCTTGCAAGTCAATGTCAGTGTCAAAATATATGTGGTTTTAAAAAACATAATAGTTAGAAAAACACAAGTAAGATCCTTATATTTTGTTTCAGAGATCAGGATGCAATTCAAAAACTTTCAGTTCTGTTGCAGAAAAAGAAGGAAAATATCTCCAAGCCTGGCTATGATGTTCATCCTAGACAGGTAATTATTTCTACAGCATTGTTATTCTACAAATATATTATACAAACACATATATAAAATATTTCAATTTACACATATAAACATACATCTATAGCGTTTTTCATATTTTAAAATAATTTGTATCATTTTTTATATTTTTAAAAATGATAATTTAACGCTCACTGTTTAGGCAAAAGTATTGTATTGAAGAAACAACCTAGGGAACATCTCAAGTCATAGCCTAAACCACAACGTAAATGAAAAATGATGATGATGATTTCAAGACTTGAACAGATTAAAATTAAATGTGTTTTTCTTAGGTAACTGAAACTAATGAAAATAAAGATGAATCCAAAATACAGAACCATGAAGTACAATATGTGGCAAATAAATATCACCTGGGCAACAAAGAGGCTGGAAACTGTCAGCAAATCAAAATACCAAGGGAGCTGAAAATGTTGAGGTAATTGAAATGATAGATGCAATTTTCTCCCATCCTTACTTTCTTCTATGTTATGTTTCAGGCCTATTTACAGTGCCTTGCGAAAGTATTCGGCCCCCTTGAACTTTTCAACCTTTTGCCACATTTCAGGCTTCAAACATAAAGATATAAATTTTTTATTTTAT